TCAACGACGAGACATACTAATTAATGAAAGTTTAAAGATAAAAATTCGATAAAAAAATCAAGAAAATAATTATTACAATGAACAAAGATTGAATAGCTTAAATAAAATTAAAATGTGGTGGCAATATAACAATCCTTTAAAAAAAATTATATACATTTTTAATTTATGTAAGCTTACTTAGAGGTTGTTTGAGCCCCATTTTAATCAAAAAATGCATTTTGAAATAGTATTATGATGAAGAATATGTGATTAAAAAATAAGAAAAAATTTTAGAGTTGCGTGTAATATTATTATATTTAAAAAGTGTGGTTGAAATAATATCAAATCACCGTTGAAAAATGTATTTTTATAGAAAAAATGGAGTTCAAACAAGGGCTTAAATAGACAAGAATAAAATTAAATAAAATCTATCACTTTTTGTCCTTGTTAAATAATTTTGGAAATTTTATATTTCTTTTAGACTTCGTGTTTGTTTCCATACCATACCATGATCCTCGGATGTTTGGGGATATTGACACAATAGATGCAAATCCTAGGATGCGAGTCACAAAATATTGTAAGAAGCACGATACAAAAATGCTTTCTCGGTCGATCTTAAGCAAAATAATAATAATAATAATAATGAAACGCAATGTTGTGATTATTGTCTTCATTGAAATAGATGTGCTGATAAAGAACGCCACTGCGATTGAAGCACTATGCCAAACCTTAAGTTGCGCAAATTCTCCTTCTTGCAACCACAAGTGAAATGAACATGGAAAGTAGCCTCTCGGGACATATTCCAGTGGTGCAAATGACAAGGGTGAGACTCAACCTTGCTGGCAGCCGCAATGTAAGAATTCGATTTCTGAAACATGGATTGTGACTCTTTGTGGGCACCAGTATACAGGCAGCTCTTGTTCTCTGGCATGTTGGGCCACATCCCGCTATTAACCTCTCTTACGATACTCCAAGAACGAGACGGTGGGAAACCCTTAAGGTTAGGATTCAACCTTTAACATGGAAAGTACAAGAAGTCAAATGTGAATACAATTATCAATAGGCACCAAAAGAAAGTTCAATTAAGCTATATAGCTTCAAATGACTTGCTAACAGAAACAGCAAATCAAGCCCCCGCTTGGGTCCTTTTCAGGGATAATAGATATTGTAATAGTGATTTTTTGAAGAAAAAATATTTTATATTTACGTGCAAAATTATTTTATTAAGAAAACGTGTGATGAAAAATAAGTTTGAGAAAAATGAATTTTTTTGAGAATGGGGCTCTAAAAGTGGCTAAGTCTTGTTCTAACAAGTCCTTATGTGTTGCAATGAGGGGGGTTCATTGTTAGATCTATTAGAAGATTTAAAACAAATAGATTCTTAACGATAACAACAAGTCATGTGATTTCGGTCTACCGTCCCTCTCCTAACACGTTCTTCTAAAACCATTCTTTTAAGTTTACGTAAAACACGTCTCAATCACCTAAATTGTCAGTGTCACCTCCACTCATTGACATATATTTTCATTTTTTATCTTGTTCATTTTAGTGACCAGAAATCCATCTTAGCATCCTCATTTTCTGCTACACCGAGTACCATTAATATATTTCAAGTTACCGTCACTTAGCAAAAGGAGGGGATCAATTCTCCAAATGACAAGAAGCCACGATTTCATGTCTTTGACGATTAACAAAATACATTGAACGAGATACTAAATTGTGAAAAAAAAAACCTTGTATTTACGCTGAGAGGTTCAAATTCACAAGGTTTTAAGCATTAAAATGATTACAAGAGATGGAGAAAACTGAATACCCCACAAGGCCCTATGAGAAGTGGGTGTACTGTCTGTGACAAGCATTTCTCTAGCCACACCGAATAAAAGAGGACATAGAAGAGAGGAAATGATAATTTTGATAGGCTTCAATTATTTGTATGAAACCATTATAGTGATTAAAGTATGGTCTTTTTTTCTTTTTTCTTTTTTAAGATAAATAATTTATTTTTGGTTAAACTCCGTGGATATAAAGTTTAATGAATAAATTCAACCCGTGTCTGATACCAATTAAAATTTAAATTTTAATCTAAGTCAAAGTCAACAATTCATTTCAACCACATATTTTATAGATCTCACAACTTTAAACCGTATATTTTATCAATTTCTATCAAAATTTATTAAAATTTTGATTTTAGTGCCTACTAAACAAGCGCTTGATAATGATAATGTTGAAATAAGGGATGTAAACGAGTCGGACCGACCAACTCGCGAGCCTAAAGTTTCGGATCCGGCTCGACCCGATTAAAATGGCCGAGCTTTTTTGCAAGCTCGAGCCGGGCCAATCCAAAAAAAATAGGCTCAGCCCGAGCTTTTGCTCAAGCTTTTTCCGAACCGAACCGGGCAAGCTCGTTTTCTCCCTTCTTTTTTTTTTTCCTAATTGCCTTTAAGGCAGCCTCAAATTTTTTTATTTATTATTATTATTTTTTTTTTAGAAAGCTCACGAGCTCACAGGTCAGTTCGAGCAAAGCTCGTGTCCTCAAAATGGGGCTCGGCCCGAGCTTTTCCCGAACTGAATCACGGGCAGCCCGAGCCGACAAGCCCGATTGTCATCCTTAGTTGAAATATAATATAAATGAATAGAGAACTTCAAAATTTAAATTTTTAAGGGGAATAGATTGAAAGTGAGACACGTGCATAAAAAAGTTAGATGAAAATAATGGCTCTAAAATGATTGATGCTACATTTTAATTTGTCAATCCCTTCTTCGAAATGTGCAATCCGATCCTCGATTTTATTCATACGAACTTCAATTATTACAATTTTATGTATTATCCCTACATTTGTCATCACAATCTCCCATAATACAACTCGTTTGAACACTAAATCATGAAATTTAGAACATCCATCTCAAGTCACAAGAAGTACGACTAAACCATGGATTACCATATTAATTTACAACTTTCAGTAACACGAGAAAAAACTCGAAATACACTAATTTGAACGTCCTCGAACCCATCGAGCTGAACCAGAGTTCGATACACCGGAATAATAGTCACCAACATTTGCTACAAAGAGTGGGTCCCTCTCTTCAAATTTAAATTCATTACTTGTACATCCACTTGGATCTCCCTCGTCAACTCGTTCCAACTCTTTCGTTAGCTCATCCATCGTCTTTCTTAATGTGGTTTTACTCATTTGCCCCGACTCTCCGGTTGAGACACCGACCATGGTGACCTTCGGGATGAAAGGGGACAGTTTTGTGTCTTGTCTTCTGTGTTCCTGGGTTGAATTCACTTCTCTGTGGTGGAAGGAGAAAATTTAGCATAAAGGTAATTCTTACACACTAGGAAAATAAAAAATTCGACATGTTTTGACAAGAGCTCCAATATTAGGGGGAACCTTCTGTCCGCGACGCTGTGCTCTCTTTGCTGTTGCTTCGACCAAGGGTGACTTGACCAATCTCCAAATGGAAAACGGAAATTCGGAGTCGTTCCTTGTTTATCCAATGTTTCCACCTCTGAAGTTCTGAGATTTTGAACATTGTCATCAATGAACGAAGAGTCAGCAATGAAGTTGGATGACTCGTGAGCTCTCATAAAAGAAGCTGCACTTCTGCAATAGAAAATCTTATCAGGAAGTTCCACGGAAAAAAGCTGTACACACAAACAAAGAATCCAGCTAGTCATTGCAAGCAGATTAGTTTCTTGGAACATATCAAAGACATGAAACTTTATGTTGGTGAACAAATGAAGGGAACACAAAAATAAGGGCAAAATTGGAATTCTAAAATTAGCCGGATAAAAAACAAGAATCACTTCATGTTTGCACTAAATTGCGAATGAATCGATAAAGTAACATTTCAAGCTTTATTTTCAACAAAACACAAAAGATTGTAATGGGTACCGTCTCTCAAATGAGTCAACCACGTAAGGGAATTTAGGTTGAATTCCAGAGGCTTTTCGCAACCATCTATTCCCAAGAAGAATTTTATCCACCCCGTACTGAAGCTGAATTTCAGCAGCCTTTGATATGGCACTCAAGAGTATACCAGGGTTACTCATCTCATCCAGCACCTCCTGAATCTGTCAGGTAGCAATAAACATAGGTAAGCACTCTTAGTTGAATGGTGTTTGATGGGAAGAAAATGTGTTTTCGGGGTGGGGGGTGTTTGGCTATGCTTAAAATGAAGTCACTGAACTTATCCCAAAAAAAAAAATATATATATATATATATATATTGATAGTAACTCTTACCTTTGTCAAAATAAGCAACTCATTTACAACGTGATTATTAAAAAATTAATTATTTTAAAACTTACTTACATGCTTACAATTAAGCTTACTCATAAGTAAACCTATTAGCCTTAGCTAAACATGCTCTTAGATAATCTACTTCCGGCCGAACAGTTCAGTTCCCACCTATGACCTATGTTATGTCAGTTTTCCACTGCCTTTTTGCCACAATAATCATTGCCATAGATTCAGAATGGTTGTGATATTAATGTTTTATAGCGAGTAAGAAACAGCAGACGTATTGATTTGTACCTCTGGATGTTCCAACATGCTTTCTGTCATCTCTTCAATTACGTCGCCTGCAAGGTTGTCGTCAACAATATCCCGTTGGCGTTGTAAATGGCGTGTTTGAATTAACGAATGGAAATGCTGGTCGGCAGATTCTTCAAGAATGTTGTCAAGCATGTTTTTGTCAAAGAAGTACGGGGTATACCTGATAAAGAAGAGTAACATCACAAGCACCAGAAACTGAGAAATAAATTTAATCGAAAAAACAGTAAAACTTAGAGAATTATATGCAAGTTTCAAAAACAAAAAACTGAGAATCTCGCAAGCAAAAAGCAGAATTTAGGGCCAGGGATTCTAAAATTCCAAATACAAAATCAAGGACAGGTTACTGCATATTTATGGACAAAGGACTGAAACCTATACAAACTGCATACATTTTCATACATATTCGCTTATCCATGGATAAAAGAATTTGTGCCTAATTATGAATTCGTGAACTCCAGAAAGCAACTAGGATATAGGTTCTAATCTGGGACAGCATGGAGGACATACAAACATATTAACTAACCACTTTATACCGTCAGATGTTGCTATGGCAATATCCAAGTTTTGAGCACTAAAAACAGGAACTCCCTCCACCTTCTTCTTCCTATCACGGTGCAGCATGGTCTTAAGAAGTTTGTTTGCCTCCTTCACCTGCAAGCAGTAGTAATTCACTTTTGCATGACAAGCTAATATCAGTGTTCCTCAAACGCTATGTTAACATGTCATTCAATATTTGACAAGATATCTGCTTTCTTGAAAAGGTAGTGCTTAAACTATTTCACAATGTCAAATTTGTGTAACAGAGCCCTGGCTTAGCTTTCCATTACTATTAATTACATGTGACAATATTCATGTCCTAAGTCGTGAAAATTATGACAGAATCGCCATGCCTAAACTTTGAGAACCTGCAATGATGAATTAGTGTTTCATAGCCTTTTAGTGATCCATATGCTCCAATTTCCCCCCCAAAAGAACTAGTTGGAATGGCTAACCTGTTTCTCATTTGCAATAAATTGAAATAAATGAGGTTTTTCCTGCAAACCACATAGAAAAAAATTTATCAATACCAATTAAGCTAGCACTACAAATTTTAAGAGAAAATAAGAAACTAATAGTTGCATCTGAAAATATGCTCACCAAAGAACATATGCATAAAATAACTATTTACTAACAAAAAGTATCATAATTTAAAGTAAATTACAAGATGCAACTTACAAAGAATATTTCCATTTGTTAAGGGTATAAAGTTATATTCTATATTCACATAGATTAAGAAAATGTAATTAATGTAGTTGGAAATATAAAATTTTCTTACATTTTTTCTAATATACCTCTACATTAAAATAATGATGCAAATATGATTAGTTTATATTTATTAATAACAAGATACATTAAGCCCTCATTTGAGCCACATTATTGTAAAAATGAGAATAAAAAATATAGTCGTTATGGATCCCACACAAAAGATAAAAAATCAAATATGATGACTTGATGTGATAGATAACAATCATATTTTTCATTTTAATGAAGAAATAATGGGGCTCAAACAAGGCCTAAATAGGACCATATTAGAAAACTATAAAATATCTATAGTTTCAGTGAGATATAACTTAGGGCAAGCGAAAAAGAAAATCAAGCCTATCTTTATGGGAAGGAGGTAGTATAAAATTTCAGATTCCCATTTTAACTCTTCACTTGAAACTCCAAGCTAACTCAAAATGGGGCACTCAATCGTGGATAGGAAGAGTATTTCTCAAGAAATGAAATGTAACAGTTGGTCTAACTATATTATAAAATAACGAAAACTAACTTTAGGAACACAGAAAAAAGCCAAAAAAACAAAAACAAAATCAAGAAAAATAATTACAATTTTTTTGCTCTTAATCAAGTCCCCAATCCCTACATGCCTCAACAAGTAAATGCACAATTAATAATTTATTGGTCATTGAAATTGAGAAGGTAGTACCTTGAAATGTTCATAGGCTATATCAAGACGACAGGCACCAACCACACCACTGGGTATATTCAGCCGTTTTACATAAGAAACTGGAAGTATAATGAGTTAGATTGCAAATCATCTATAACCACAAATAGGTTAATTAAGTTTGAATAAAGCATGCCTTTTATCTACAGGAAAGCCAAGTATACATATAAAATTATAAGAATGTGAAGCAGGTGACATTGTGGTCTCATGTAGTAGAATGAAAGCATCATGAAACTTCATAATGGATAGGAATAAACGATTTCCACACCAAAAAATACAGCTATCATCCAGAAGCTGCTGCTTTCATCAGGCCGTTGGAAGCTTCAAATATAAACAGGGGAAGAAAATATGTTTCTGAGCTGTTAGACCATATTAAAATATAAGGAATAATGAATAGCACAGTCATACCAGCATCACCCAGATCCATGAAGAAACGAAATACAGGGCCATTCCTTTCACTCTTAGTAACTGATGCAAACATCTTCTTTAGCCACTCTGGAGTTCTATAAATTACGAAAAACACCAAAAGCAAAGAATAAATTATCAAAAAGTACTCTTTTTGGAGTTTCCGAATATTAAAAAGGTACATGTAATTGACCATGGGAAAAATATATAAATAAGAATGCAAACCCTGTGATGAGGGAGACCTCCAAAAATAAATGGACAAAATTTGTTCAAATTATCAGTTAGACAAAAGTTCTAGCATCTATTGAGAATATAATGGGTAAAAAAGAAGATAATAATCCCATAATCTCAATAATGCAGTTTCCAATCTTGGTATGTTTAGTATAATTAACGACACTCTATCTTCAGTATACTGTATCTCTGCATTCATTTAGGACTTTGACAATAGCAAAGCCAAATTCATTTGGTGGGAAAATAGGGCTAGGGCCAAAGGACACACATGAATAGACTTCAGGGGACTGTGATAATGACAATTGAAGACTTGACTTGGTGTATAATGGGAGAAAAATGAGTAAGTATCTTCTTATATCTCAGCCAGAACTTCCGTTATCAAACATGACCAGCCTCTCTCTTTATCTTGATTAATTAAATCAGAAAGAAAATACAAGAAGCGTGTTAATGTTAACATATGATTAGCAAACGTTTGTTACTAGTCATATAGCATTCATCGCTACATATCAATGCTTCAGCAGTCCTCCTTTGAGAGACGGGCAATGAAATCCTTCTGTTGGGCTTGCATGAACCCGGTATAGATAAAGCACTCCCAGAATGTTATTTTTCCAAAACATAGTCTATTTATATTTCTAGTGGGCTCAAAATCAAGAAAGCAAAGCAGACTGTGCATTCACCTATGGGCATTGGTAACTCAGTTATTTTGCATTTGGTCATCTATAAAACCTTATAATTTTAGAGCTCACTCCAATAATCCATCTACTCGAAGGATGGAAACTTCAATATTATTTATTTCCTCCTGTAAGAGTCCATTGGGCAATGATAGTCCCCCCAAATTCATCCGGTTAATCTCCTTCCGAAAGAATTTGTAGCATGCCACAACTTAATTTCAGTTTATAAAACCTTACTTGTAAAGAAAGACTTTCCAAGATCTTTATGAGTTTGAATCACTTGGAATTTCAACTACAAATCTGAATTTTTTTGACCCCTCTAATGGTTGAGAACTCAATCACAATGGAAGGAGCCCGTTGCCTACAAATGCCAAGTTTTGTGAGTTTTCTAGCCAAAACTATAGTTATAGGCCCTTTTCATTTTTAGTGTATTTTCACATACGAAATTTCTACCCATTTTAAGCCATCTTCCCCCTTCTCACTCAACACCATATAGGTAAAGTGGTTATGGAGAGTTATGAGAGGTTAAGAGAAGTTTAAGGTTTGAATTGGAAGTTCAACCCACTCCCTCCATTTCATTTTCAATATCTTGCGGGTCAAGTCATCCCATAAGGGCGATCCATGATCCATTTT